GCTCCTTTCCCCTGGGTCTTGGTGGGCACAAGGTTTTGTTTGTGCCCTCCAGGTTTTTTCCCCAGTCCTGTGGAAGTTCTGTAATCAAATACCACTGGCTTTCAAAGTCAAATTCCCAGGGGGTTCTCAGTCCCTTTGCTGGATCCCCAGGTTAGGAAATCTCTTGTGGGCCCTAGAACTTTTGCAACGGTGCAAGAACTTGTTTGGTATAATTGTTCTCCAGTTCATGAGTCATCTGCTCAGTGGCTCTATAGTGGAGCTAATGGTGACCTCCTCCAAGAGGACTTATGCCTCACACCGTGCCACCCAGGTCTGATGCAGCCAGAGCCCCTGTCCCCGTGGTAGGTCACTGCTGACTCGTGCCTCTGCAGGAGACAGACACCCCAAGGTGTCTTGTGGAGGTCCTGCTCCTTTCCCTGGGTCCTGGTGCGCACAATTATTTTTGCATCCCCTCAGCATCTGGCAGGTCTGAGACTTGATTTTAAACATAAGGAGCACCCCTCCTACTGTCTTGTTGGGATTTTCCCTTTGCCCTTGGATGATGGCTATCTTTTTCTGCTAGGATCCAACATTCTCCTGTTGATGGTTGTTTAGCAACTAGTTGTGATTTTGGTATTCTTGCAGGAGAAGATGAGCACACATCCTTCTACTCCAGTATCTTAGAAGTTAATCAGTCTAAGGCAAGGATGAGACTTTAATCAGGGAGCCATCTGACCAAGAAGATGGAGGGCTAACGTCTCAAAATAACCATATTATCTGGGTCTGGATGCCAGGTTCTTTTATAGATCAGAGATCAGGGGGAGGTGAGGAAGCAAAGTAAAAAGGCCATTAATCTTGCAAACATCTCCTAGAATGGCAAGCCTCAGGCAGGGGATGTGTTCATTTCTTCCTGCCATCGACAGGTGGACAGAGTTCTGAGCAAAGGCACTTTAGTTTAACAGTCAGGCAGATGGGTAGGACTCTCTGAGGCAGAGCATTCTGTATGATTATAGTAACAAAAGCAATGAAAAGCAAGTCAAAGAAACAGCTTCCGACATGGAGTCAGCATTGGCTTCTTCTCCACAACATATTCACATTCCACTCAAAGCATCTCCTTTTCTTCTGAATTCATGCTGAGATTTCTCCCCAGAAACATCCTCAAGTCCAAAACACTTGGTTTAGAGCCTCCACAGTCATTCCCTCAAGTATGGAACCTTTTGGAAATGGAGCTATGCTTCTCACTGCTGGCAAGCCTGGCTTGCCCTGCCTCTTCTGTGATGCCCTTGGTCTAAGAAGCTGCTTGCATATGCCTTCTGCTAGCTGTAGTTGCATACTGCATTTTATGTGTGAAAGTGAAAGTGAAGTCGCTCAGTCATGTCCGACTCTTTGTGACCCCATAGACTGTAGCCCACCAGGCTCCTCCGCCCATGGGATTCTTCAGGCAAGAATACTGGAGTGAGTTGCCATTTCCTTCTCCAAGGGATCTTCCCGACCCAGGGATCAAACACAGGTCTCCCGCATTGCAGGCAGACACTTTAACCTCTGAGCCACCACAGGGAAGCCTAGTTACTAATTTTTTAAGGCTGGAAATCAGATAGCTAATTTTACACTTTTCAGTTTTTCTCATATCAACATATAAACATTATAGAGTTATTTCTAAGCATTGCTTTTATTTAGCTGTATCCTCCTAATTTTTCTCCCGAAACTTAACATGTTATTTTTGGGAGAAAAACAACAAAATTCCCTGGGGCCTCTGTTATCAATGTCCTTATCGCCACGGTGAACTATAGCCAACTCCCACCTTCCCAGGAGATCCTCCAAGACCTCTAGTTAGGTCACTGGACCCACTATGGGTAGTGTGGAGTCAGCTCAAACTTTGACATGGCCCATCCCATTCCCTACCCTGTGTACGTGGCCACAAGTCCACAGCTGCTAAAGGCAGACCTGGCTCAGCTGCAGGAGCAATTTTCCATTAAAATATTCTCTAGGCGCTAAGTTCACCAAGCCCCCTGTGTGGGATGAATCTATGGTTTGTGCAGCTTGAAGGAAAGATGTCAGTTCTTCCTCAGTCACACAGCCCTAGGGCTCTGCTTTGGTTTTGGCTGCACCTCTGTATTTGGTTCACCCACAGGTGTCTGCTTCTTAGCCAGCCAAAAAGGGGTTAAAGGCAGCAACTGGGGGGAGTACTGACCTGTTTCCCACCATTTTGCTACACATATTTTTTTCTGCCCTCTTCTATTTCTGAAGGACGTTAATTATACAGTTTATTTTAGTACATGGCATTATAAGGGAATGTTCTAATCTCATTGTTTTACATGTAGCTGCCCTTTTTTTTTTCAGCATAACTTATTGAAAAGACTTTTTTCTTCATTGTATATTCTTACCTATATAAACTGACTATAGGTCTGTGGATTTATTTCTGGGATCTCTACTCTGTTCCACTGGCCTATGTATCTGTTTTTGTGCTGCACCATTCTGTTTTGATTACTGTGTATTTGTAGTGTAGTCTGAAGTCAGGGAATATGATAGCTAGCTTCAGCTTCGTTGTTTTTTATCAAGCCTTGCTTCGGCAATTTGGAGTCTTCTGGTTCCATATAAATTTTAGGATTGTTTGCTCTAGTTCTGTGAAAAATCTCATAGGTATTTTGAAAGAGATTGTATTAAATTTGTAGATTGCTTTCAGGATGGCCATCTTAACAATATTAACTCGCTAATTCAGCAGCATGGACCATCTTTCCCTTTCTTTGAGTCATCTTTAATTTCCTTCATCAATGTTCTATAGTTTGTTTTTTTTTTTTTTAAATAGAAACTCTTTTCTATGAAGGAATTGCTGTTTTTGGGCTGCAAGAGATTCTTTTGTGGTTATAAAATTGAAATATCAAGCACTGAGGTTTCTCATTCCTTCTTTGATATATTTAGTACCTATCCAAGGAAGGCCCCCCTGAGAACATAGCAACCCACTCCAGTATTCTTGCCTGGAGAATCCCATGGACAGAGGAGCCTGATAGTTTGCAGTCCATATGGTCTCAAAGAGTCAGATATAACTGAAGTGAATTAGCACGAAGCAGTAGCTGTCTTAATATTCTGCTCACCTACTTGTTAATCCTTCTTAATCTCTGTATCCTTGTCTTCTTTTCTTTACTCTTCCTTAATTTAAATGTTACCAAACATGCTTCATCCACTCTTCTTTTCATAACATATTCCCACTAATAGTATGGTATTAAGGAAACCCAAGCACATATTGCCTGGTGTCAAGTAATATAACACTCAAAATCAAGAAGTGATATAACAAAACAAAATTCAGATGTCCAATGCAAAAAAAGGGTCATTCTCTGAAACATTGCAATCAATTATATAAATTGTGAAATATAGGTCACAGTCTTCTTTATTCATCAATAGAAACAAAAGTTTGTGTTCAGATTTAAACAAATACCAAAGATGAACATGAGTGTCATTACTTGGAGAGTGTCATTACTTGAAGAGATGCATCCACTACCATATCATTTCTCCTATTCAAACTAAATATTGCTATGATTTTGTCGCTCATAACTTCCAGGAAGATATTTCATATTCCTTCACTTTACACATTAGATATTTAATGATCTATTTGCCTCTTAGCTTCACCTTAAATAGTCTCCTGTATAAGTCTCTATCCTAGCTATAAAAAAGAAAACAAACAAAATACCATGTAGTTCCCTGAATGTGGAATCCTATCTTGATGTGTTCATGATCTTATTGTACTATGTGGAATAGTACTCATTTATCTCCATCTAGCTAATTCATATAGTTACTTGTAGACTCAGCTTAAATTCTTTCTCAACAGACTACATAAAGATTATTTTTAATGACTGTCTAATATATTCATCTATTCTCTTACTGGTTATGGTGTTTCCAATTTTTGTTGCTAATGCTAAAATGTGCATAGATTTTTTTTCTTCTACTGAATATTTGCTAAATATTAAAAGCTCAAGGGCTTCCCTGGTAGCTCAGGGAAGAATCCACCTGCAATGCAGGAGACCCCGGTTTGATTCCTGGGTTGGGAATATCTGCTGGAGAAGGCATAGGCTACCCACTCCAGTATTCTTGGGTTTCCCTGGTAGCTCAGCTGGTATAGAGTCTGCCTGCAGTGTGGAAGACCTGGGTTTCATTCCTGGGTTGGAAAGACCCCCTGGAGAAGGAAACAGCTACCCACTTCAGAATTCTGACCTGGAGAATTCCATGGCTGTATCGTCCATGGGGTCACAAAGAGTCAGACATGACTGAGTGACTTTCACTTTCACTTTGCATATAAATCTCAAGTATAGTTGGTAAACTCATGTTACACATTAAGGGCTTTTCAAGAGAATATGCAATATGAAAATTTGAATTAAAAATTATCATCACAAGTTTTAAAGTTTTAGATCAAATCAATAGAATTATACATAGACATGAATATTCAAACAACACCAACGAATTAAAATATATGTATTTGGAAAGCAGAACACTAAACCGCAACTAAATAAAGATAAGCGTATTGGTATAAGAATTGAAAGAGTTTCCCTGGTGGCTCAGTGATAAAGACTCCACCTGCCAAAGGAGACGTGGGCTCGATTCCTGGGTTGGGAAGTTCCTCTGGAGAAGGAAATGGAAACCTACTCTAGTATTCTTGCCTGGGAAATCCCATGAACAGAGGAGCCTTGCAGGCTACTGTCCACAGGGTCACAAAAGATTCTGACATGAATTAGAGATTAAATAAGAACAAAACATAATATACATGCATATATTATATATTCTCTCTCTATACATATATATGTCAGTTTACCAAATGTATAAGATTTAGTAATTTTTATATAATATACATTTAATTTAAAAATTACAAGTTAAGAATAAAGTGATTTATTTCATATAATTATATAGATACATATATGTGTACATACACATATACACATACACACATATATACACACAATATAAATAACATATATACTATTATGCAAGTGTAGTAAAAATTAAGTATGTATATGCATTAAGGATTTGCTCACCAGGACCTCCTCCATCCTGATGACCTGGATTCCTGGGTCCTACAAAGGGCCTACTAGGAAAAAGTAAGGTTGTTTTCCAGCCTATCTCATCTGGCCATATGATAGTCCTCTGTATAGCAGCAAAACGCAGACGATACTTTACCTAGAAGTAGCAGCAGAAAACAAACTATGTTTAAAACCAAACTAAACTGAAAAGCAAATATTAGAAACTAAAGCAAAGTTAAATCCACATACGAAACCATGTGATTTGAAATTGAGACTCATCTGATGTGAAAGTGATTCTGAATGCCTGCAAGTGACAGTGACTCCAAGCACAACAAATATAATCCAATCACATTTATATTTTAAGTCCTCTCCCAATGCAGACAGTTCACAAACAGAAGATATACAGGTGGCCCACAAATATATAAAAAGCTTCTCAATGTCACAGAATGGAATAAATACAAATTAAAACTACATTGATATCTTTCTTACCTGTCACACTGGAAAAGTCAAAATATACTGTGTTAACATACTGCGTTGACAAGACAGTCAACGGGCACTTTAATACATTGCTTGTAGTATGCAAAATGGCACAATAATAATGGAGAATCTGACAATGTTCCACAAAACTATATATGCATGCATTGTTTAATTCAGCAATCATACTTTCAATAACAGACTTGGAATATAAACCTCAAACAGTATGGGAAAAAAACCACATGCACAAGGTTGTTTGTTGTAACATTATTTGTTGTGGAAATACAGCATATTGGAATCAACCCAACTGCTCATACATAAAAGACTGCACAAATTACAATACAGAGTTCTGTATCCGCTCAAGATATAGTCAGAAAACGGAAACTAGATAACCTAATGGATAGGTTATACTATCTATACTAGATAGCCTAATGGATAGGTTATACTATCTATACTAGATAGCCTAATGGATAGGTTATACTATCTATACTAGATAGCCTAATGGATAGGTTATACTATCTATACTAGATAGCCTAATGGATAGGTTATACTATCTATACTAGATAGCCTAATGGATAGGTTATACTATCTATACTAGATAGCCTAATGAATAGGAGAACTCTAAGGTATCAGATAGAGACAGCAGGAACTAGTCATTGGCCCTAGGACTAAGGAAACTAAACCAAGGGTTTGCAATTATTAAAAATTGCGAACTTAAATGAGAGGTCATGTGGGGATGAAAAATCAAGCCTCAAAGGAGGGGCATATGTCAGCTAGTACTGGGTTACAGAGCTTGAAAGAGGGGACTTTGGACGGGGACCTTGACTTCTGAAAAGGAGCTCCAGTTGCCTAGTGCTGGGTATCTTTGAGAGGGTGTGACAAGGCTGATATTGAAAAGCGTTGAGCAATCTTCAAACTGCATTTGTCTGCTGCTATGAGAAAGAAAATGCTACTGACAAAGAGATATTTCTGGGGTGTCATTCACAGCAACTACAAGCAGCCAGAAAGCCAACAGAAAAGTTTGAGCTACTTTTTTTTCCTCCAAGTCTTGCTTCTAGTCTGTCTTTTATTAGCTGAGTCCCATAGGTGGCTGAAAAAGTGGAAGTGTAGCTGTAGCATCAAAAAGCAAAGTAGATGGATTTATGGTTCAAAAAGAAAAAAGAAAAAATTACTGACAAGTATGCTACCTTTTCCATAAAAAAGGCAAAATTAGATGTGCATATATGATTTATATTATACATCAGGGGTAAGCTTAAATATATATATCTATATAAACTTGTATATATGTAATATCTATATACTTTATCTATCAATATACTTAAGTTTTGGATGCACTACAAAGAAAGTTAAGACTTCAGCACACTTTCAGCCAAACAGTTCACCATTTACTAGATTTTAATATTTGCCCAGAGTTTTTATTTGAGGTAAACTTTACACACAATAAAATGTACAAATCTTAACTGTACATTTCCTTAATTATGTAAGTTTTAACAAATGCATAGCTATTCTAACTCAACTACTATCAAGATAAACATTACCCTCATTCCAGAAGGTTTTCGTAATGCCCTTTGCCCGTTGATCCTGACCACAGTCAGAGGTGTAATTTTTCTAATTTCACTACAGATTAATTCTGCCCATTATAAAATTTCATATAAATGGAATTAAATATAATATTGTACTCTTTGATAGAAGGCTTCTTTTATTCCATATGTTTTGAAATTCATTAATGTAATTGCTATTTTCAGTAATTAAATCCTTTTATCACTGAGCAGTATTCCATAGGGGGCTTCCCTGATGCTCAGTGGTAAAGAATACACCTGCCAATTCAAGAGCTGCAGGAGATTTGGGTTCGATTCCTGGGTCGAATTCACTCCAGTATTCTGCCTGGAGAATCCCATGGATAGAGGAGCCTGGCAGGCTACAGTCCACCAGGTCACAAGAAGTCAGACATGACTAAGCATGCAGGAATAGAGTAATATTCCATAGTATGACTATAACAGAGCTCATTAAGTTTATTATGAATGGGTGCTGAATTTTCTCAAAACTTTTTCTGCATCAATGGAGATTTAAAAGCTGAAAAACTGGCTTAAAACTCAACATTCAAAAAACTAAGATCATGGCATCTGGCCCCATCATTCATGACAAATAGGGGAAAAAAATGGAAATGGTGACAGGCTTTATTTTTTTGGGCTCCAAAATCACTGCAGATGGTAACTGCAGCCACGAAATTAAAAGACACTTGCTCCTTGGACATAAAACTGTGACAAACCTATACTCCATATTAAAAAGCAGAGACATCACTTTGCCGACAAAGTTCTGCAGAGTCAAAGCTATGGTATTTCCTGTAGTCCTGTAGGGATGTGAGAGCTGGACCATAAAGCAAGCTGAGTGCCAAAGAATTGATGCTTTTGAATTGTGGTGTTGGAGAAGACTCTTGAAAGTCTGTTGGACAGCAAGGAGATCAAACCAGCCAATCCTAAATGAAATCAACCTTGAATATTCACTGGAAGGACTGATGCTGAAGCTGAAGCTCCACTACTTTGGTCATGTGATGTGAAGAGCCGACTCATTGGAAAAGATCCTGTTCCTGGGAAAGACTGAGGGCAGGAGGAGAAGGGGATGACAGAGAATGAGATGGTTGGATGGCATCATTGACTCAGTGGACATGAGTTGGAACAAACTCTGGGAGATGGTGAAGGACAGAGAAGTCTGGCATGCTGCAGTCTATGGATTTGCAAAGAGCTGAATAGGACTGAGTGACTGAACACCACCAACACCACTGTGGAAAACAGTATGGAGGTTCCTTAAAAAATTAAAATAGGGCTACCATATGATCCAGCAGTTCTATTCCTGAGTATTTTTCAAAGAGCAAAATACTCATTTTATTTTTTTATTTTTTAATTACAATTAATCATGTGGCTTTATTTTTTTCCCATTTATTTTTATTAGTTGGAGGCTAATTACTTTACAATATTGTAGTGGTTTTTGCCATACATTGACATGAATCAGCCATGGATTTACATGTATTGCCCATCCCGATCCCCCCTCCCACCTCCCTCCCCACCCCATCCCTCTGGGTCTTTCCAGTGCACCAGCCCCGAGCACTTGTCTCATGCATCTAACCTGGGCTGGTGACCTATTTCACCCTTGATAATATACATGTTTCAATGCTGTTCTCTCAAAACATCCCACCCTCGCTTTCTCCCACAGAGTCGAAAAGTCTGTTTTATATATCTGTGTCTCTTGTTCTGTTTTGCATATAGGGTTCTTGTTACCATCTTTCAAAGAAGACATACAGATGGCTAACAAACACATGAAAAGATGCTCAACATCACTCATTATCAGAGAAATGCAAATCAAAACCACAGTGAGGTACCATTACACGCCAGTCAGGATGGCTGCTATCCAAAAGTCTACAAGCAATAAATGCTGAAGAGGGTGTGGAGAAAAGGGAACCCTCTTACATTGTTGGTGGGGATGCAAACTAATACAGCCGCTATAGAGAACAGTGTGGAGGTTTCTTAAAAAACTGGAAATAGAACTGCCATATGACCCAGCAATCCCACTTCTGGGCATACACACCAAGGAAACCAGATCTGAAAGAGACACGTGCACCCCAATGTTCATTGCAGCACTGTTTATAATAGCCAGGACATGGAAGCGACCTAGATGCCCATCAGCAGAAGAATGGATAAGGAAGCTGTGGTACATATACACCATGGAATATTACTCAGCCATTAAAAAGAATTCATTTGAATCAGTTCTAATGAGGTGGATGAAACTGGAACCCATTATACAGAGTGAAGTAAGCCAGAAAGATAAAGACCAATACAGTGTACTAATGCATATATATGGAATTTAGAAAATACTCATTTTAAAAATATACATGCACCCCAGTGTTCACAGCCATATTATTTACAATAGCCAATGTGGAAGCAACATTAATGTCTATCCACAGTTAAATGGATAAAGAAGCTATCATACACGGGAATATTACTAAGACACAAAAGAATGAAAATTTGCCATTTGCAACATCATAGATAGACATGTTGCTTAGAGAAAAGATAAAGACAAATACTGCCTGCTATCACTTAACTGTGGGATCTAAAAACAAAACAAATGACTATAACAAAGCAGACACAGACTCATAGATACAGAGAACAAACTAGTAGTTATCAGTGGGAGAGAGGGAAAGAGGGAGGGGCATATAGGGGTAGGGATTAAGGAATACAAACTATTAGCTTTAAAATAATGAGCTACAAGGACATATTGTACAGCACAGGGAATATAAACAGATTTTATAACTTTAAATGGTGTAAAATCTATAAAAATTTTGAAACTCCATGTTGTATTCCTAAAACTACTATTGTAAATAAAAATATCTCAATAAAAAAGGGCACTGGAATTTTGAAAAGGATTGTGATGAATCTAGGTAGCTACTGGTAGTATGATTTAACAAATTAGGTCTTCCTACCCATGAACTTAGGGCTTCCCAGATGTCTCTAGTGATAAAGAATCTGACAGATAATGCAGGAGACATAAGAGATGCAGGTTTGATCCCTGGGTTGGGAAGATCCCCTGGAGGAGGCCACAGCAACCCACTCCAGTATTCTTGCCTCCATGGACTCCATGGACAGAGAACTCCATGGACAGAGGAGCCTAGTGGGCTACAGTCCATAGCGT